CGTAAGTGCATACAATTCTATGCAAAACTAAATGCTTTGTGTAGTCTGAACGGACAGAGCCCGAATGCAGAGCCCGATTACTCCATTACTTTGTTGTTATTATAGATACAAAGATCGTCACAATGAAAAATTTCTTCGATCCATATGGTAGCCACGTTGAGGCGACACGAACTGGTTCCTGTCCAGTATGATGAAAGTTTTATTGAACGGAAAGTGGTTGAAATCCGATAAACCTAATTTATCCCCTAATTTCTAAGGGTAGCCTTAGAGATGGAATATTTTTTTCAAATCTAAATGGGACCAATACTAAGGCTGATTTCCAATAAAAAAAGAATCATCAAAATTGGTTCACAAATCGCGTAACATACACAAAATAAAACAGCCGAATTGAAAACCTCCTCTTTTTTTATTCGGTTAAAAAATTGACAAATATCATGAGAAAAACATCTTAATATTCAATAAGAATAAATATTACAATCGCTGAAAATTTCATACGTAAAATAAATGGAATATATTTAGAAAGTGTAAGTTGGAATGTCAACAAATGTTGCCGTATGATGGTACGATCACGTAGTTCTGATAACTTACAAAGAAAACGTAAGAGCAACATTGTGTTAGAATCTAAACTTACCAAGTTTGAAAGCTAGAACTCTTTAAGAACTATCTGTTTCATCTAAGTTCACGTATTCTGTATGTTTGTTAGTTTAGTAAAACATAAGTTAGTTCTGTTCTTTGGTGTTGCGTGTTTTTTGCATTTGCAGTTGAACATTTTGTGTATTTTCGGTGTTTTAACCTCTATGTCGAGAACGTCTAGGGACGAATTCTCCGCTAGAAGTCGCGAAGAATACGAATAAAAATGGAAATTTAAGCAGTATAGCTTCTTGTGAAAGAACCGCAAGCAACAATGTGATCAAGATAAGAAAATTGGTCAAATTCTTGCCTCAGGATGACGGGCGCAGAGACAATGCCCCCTCACTTTTAATTGCTTTGAATGGCACTGCAATGTCAGGGTCAAGTAAAACTCTACTGCTCACACGTAAGGAAAATTCACTTAAGAGGGAGCAGAGGAAAAATTCCTAATCTTCGATTTGATTTTAGAGGGGTATATCCGCTTTAAAGTTATAAATAAAAAATAAACTCTGAGTGTCAATGCAACTGTTATGAACTGACGTGTCACTTAACAACAGGCGCAAGACTTGTTCGTTCCAATTGGTATCATAAAAAAAATTGTCAACTTCCAACAGCACTGAGTCAATATTACGCTTCAACATCAAGCACGTTCTACACAGCAGAATGCAATCCTTACGGGACAAGAAATTCAACAAAGCAACGATTTACATCGGCTATGCAACACTGTCACAAAGGCAGCGATGCATTGGAATTCATCCTCAATTCAACGGCAATTGATCACATTGTCGTAATAACATCACGTAGTCTCGGTTGCTTTGTTACTTTGTTACGGTAAGTGGATAATGTTAGCGGCATAATAGTAGAGGTAATCTGTTTTCTTAACAGTGCACTGGAACATCGTATTGATGAAACTCTACTGCCCTTTCGTAAAGCAAATTCCCCTGAAAACAATGAACAAGAAACTCTAGGCGTTGCGCTTTGTACATAAACATTTGTACTTACACATTTATCATTTACAACTGCAAGAGCGAAACGGGTTAATAACACGGATTTTTGTTATCCAAGAATGCAGAACCTGTATAATAATCTTTAGTATAAACTTTTTGTTTAGTTTATCAGAATGACACGCAACTAAACCATAAATATAATTGATAAACGCAACTCACAATAATATCAGTACAGAGTGCTAAAAAAATTGAACTCAAAACTTCGTGGAATTACATCTATTTATCGAGTTCTTAGGTTTTCTCGATTGTTACACATAGGAAATGAAACAATTTTTCCGGATTTAAATCGCGTATATTTATTTTTTCACACAAACCAACGAGTCGGGTCCATTACCCCATGGTTACGGTTTACTGAGGTGGTACAGTCATCAACCAGTCATGTGTCATATTAATGCAAACCACCATTGACTTACAATTATATGGACGTCGGGTCCGCGCTAAAAAGTGTCCGCACTTGTAAGGCGCTAAAATCGTATACAGAGCGCCAAACTCCGCTTTAGTCTTCATTTGTTCGACTGACAGCGCGATACTGCGATGACATTACAATTTAAATTTCGAATAGGTTGACTTGGGACATTTTTTCGTGGTTTTTGTATTAGACCCGTCGTCCATTTATTTGTAAGTCAATGCGTCGTCCATTTATTTGTAAGTCAATGCAAACCACTCTATTTTTTCACTATAGTTACAAAACTTATTAATTAAATACCTTATTTTTAGTTTTACAAAGAATCATTCCAATGTACGTTACATTGTTTTACAAATTATTTTATTGTAACAATATGAATTTTTATTAAGTTAAATTTATTATTAATAATGGAAATTAGAATAAATTAAAACATATTAATTTATACTGCAGTCTTATGTCTGTTTGGGATTTTTCATTTGAGGAAATACTGGATTCCAAACTGGTGGTACGGAGAAACCATCTTCCCTGTTGAAATTAGGATGTTTTTTAATTTCAATGGCCTCTCACATTATCCTGGGTAGATAACGGACTTCTTTTACAAGGACCTGGGGTTTATCATTGAATGGGTAGGTTTATCCATCACATCTAATTGCCAAGTTTTATTAAAATCCGTTACCGGAAAGTGCGTGGAACTTGATTCGTCCAGTTAGAGGTGGAATAATTTCTTCAAATTTCCACCACTGAGGTACCCTCTTTCCAACAAAAAGAATCATCAAAATCGATTCACAAATCGCGTAACATACAGACGAATTGAGAACCTCCTCCTTTTTGAAGTTGCTTAACAAAAGGTTATATAGTCTTTAATTATAAGATTCTACCTTATATGATGATATTATGATCATAATTTTACGTATTTACTTGCTGCAGCTTTTCGTAAAACTTTCTCCGTGTATTCTGGACACTTTCTTCCGGTAAGTTTATCAAAAAACCATCTCTATAAAACGTATTTCCGATTGTTCAACCGATGAATCCATTTCGCTCATTCCCGTAATTTAACTGTTCCGATCGGGAAACCCCGCTACGCCTGCACTTCGAAAGTTCACGATGTCGAGTGTAACTTTTGTTTTACTGCAAAGTTAGCGGTGGTGGTCATACGGAACAAATTCTACTACGTTGCAGATTGTAACCTAAAACCACGGAAGAAAAAATACAATCGATATCTTTTCAAACTAAATAAGTCCCATTTTTGTTTGTTGTAAATAATAGACATTACATTGCATATGCTTATCACTGTATATATGAATCAAATGAATTATTTAAGTATTTTATAAATATAAGAGAACACACCATACTACATTAAAGAAATATATACACGTAATTTATTTTAGTTTAAACGCGACACACACGTCCGGTACTCACTCGGTTTTAGGGTCCACTGAAAATCAGCGTCACAGCCTTGTCCCGGCGGTGACATTAGCTGAGTGGATCCTATTACATACGCCACAGCCGCACACATGACATCTACTTAGTACAACAATAGTGTTGACCAGCTTTGTGGTCGCATAATTATTTATTGCCAAGATTTTATTTTTAATTAATTTTATTTAGTTTTCTTTTTGTTATTCATTTTCTGTGTTTTAATTTAGTTTGTATTAGTTTTAATTTAGTTCTGTTTTATTTTTATTTTTTTTTACTTTTTATTTTTTACTGTTTATTATTGTGTTGTGGTGTTATGTAATAAATGTATTCTATTCTATTCTATTCTATTCTATTCAATAGATGTGCCTTAAGGATTCCTTGCTAATTCTTTTCAGGGAGTCCGAATGAGAAGTAGAGTTTAATCAATATGACTATTTCGAGTGTAATTTGCTTACCTATGAACTAAAGATTTGAATTTGATATTGATCTTTTTAATATGTTTTTAATTTTAACCGTTTTTATCAATCATTTCATCTACAAGGATATATAAATAAATGATATATCGAAAAGGATGTTGTTTTTTAAACGGCTTCAAAAAATAAGGAGCTTCTCAATTCGACTGCATGTTTTTTTTGTATGTATGTTACTGCTTAACTGCCTCCGTGGCCGAACGGTTACCTTCCAGGACTGCCACGCAGAGGTCCAGGGTTCGATTCCTGGGCCGTGAGAAATATTTGTATGGCCTACATTTATTTCTCTCGTAAGTTTGGGTGTAATTTGTAGTTGTCTACGTGTGCGTCCATGGCACCCGCGATACAGGGTTTCCCTACGCGACAACTCATTTCGACCTCTCCTACGTAAAGTATCGTATGTCGAAATTGCTAAGTGTACAGAGGAGCCTTTTAAAGTTCTGAATTCACTGAAATAAGCACAACACGTAATTTTAGCATATCTCAGTTTTATTCGGCAAAGCTCATTATTCACGAGAGTATTATAAAATCCTAGATGTCGGTTAGATGATCTATTAGATGATCACTCTATGTGAGTAACGAGTTTTGCCGAATAAAACGGAGAACTTTAAAACGCTCCCCTGTAAACTTGGCAATTTCGACATACGATACTTTGCGCAGGAGGGGTCAATTTGTGAACGATTTTGATTTGTTGGAAAGAGGGTACATCGATGGTGGTCCCATTATTTTGAAGAAAATGTTCCACCTTTAGAGGAGCAAACTAGGTGATGTATCCGGTTTCGCGCACTTTCCGGTAACAGATTTCAATAAAATAAAACTTGGCAAATATATGTAATTCCACTTTTGAGGTCGGTTTTTTAGTATACTCTGTACTGAGATTATAATGATTTGACAAGTTTGCAGTGTTCGCTTTTTTACGTTAATGCCATTGACTTACAATTAAAGTCAATGGTTAATGCATTCAATATTTAAGGTACCTACTCTCAAAGCAGTTTGTTTCTTAGCTGCGTCCGAATGGTATTGACTGTAAATTGTCGATGTGTGTGACCACTGAAATAAGTCTCTTACCTGTCATGCGCCTTGAAGGAGAGTCGAAGCTGGGGGGGAGGCGGCGGTTCGGGGGGTAGCGAGCGACGTCTGCGGCCGCCCAGTGGCGCGTACGCGGCCTCCTGCCAGTGACGGATTAACGGCGTCAGAGACACTCCTGCAACAAGATTACAATTATTAAACAAAGCGAACAAAATTGTGGTCGCTGTTAAGACAGTCTATTACGCTTGCATAAGGAGCTGACTCGACGGGTCAGCCCCATATATTTCTACTTTACTCCCTACCGACCCCTAGGGTATACGAGAAGGTCACTATGACCTGCGCGAGCATGCCCGCGCAGGAACCGTCTAAGTCAGGCCCTAACCCTAATAGATAGATAAAAACTTTATTCACTGTAAGGCCAGTGCCTTAGGTGAGGCACCCCGGGTGCAAGTACAGCACCCTTCCTATTTTCCAGATAGGTACCGGAGCTGTAGGCACGCTCACCTCTGAGAATTTAATTACTAATAGGGCTTCAGTTGAAAATCAAAATTTAGCAGGTTCTCTGAAGTATTTAACGTGAAATATCTCCATATAAAAATTATGTGCAAAGTTAGACTTTTATTTGTGCCTGCTTTCAGGGTTTTATATGACCGAATAAAGTACATTCTATCATGTAACACATTAGCATATTCTTTAGACTATGTCCTTAGGTGCATCGTATATTTTTTCGTATATCGTAAGATGTACCGTTATTTAATAGTCAATAACCGAAATAATTTGATAAAGCAAAACGGTTTTTCCCGCTACTCCTCCGGTAACTCGCTTGAGTTTCGCCGTACAGGTCCTACAACGATTACACACTGACCAAACTCATAACTAAAAACAACATTTTCATTCATATATTTCATTACCATTTCACAAAGCAACAAATCAACTTCAATATCCATTAGCTTTCAGATACATCGCATCACCGCGGCCGAAGCGGAGAGCGATTGAAAAGGGTTTTTTTACCGCGATTGAAAGATTTTATAACATATCTCTCTTCGATCCTACGGGAATGTTTTAAAATATTTCTGATAGCAATGGGAAGTTTAGGCGTTGGCAAAGTAATTTTTTAAATTGATATGGCAAACTGGGTATAATAAGTTTATGTCAAGATCGTGCAATGTGACCTCCGATAACATGGTATAAATAAGACAAGAATGATGTCCATACAAACGTAGCAGCGCGGCTACGATTGTATGGACTTAACGTAATCGTGTCTACTGTTTGTTGACCCAAATAAATAAAAAAATCTTGCGATTCATGTCGTTCTCGCGCAAGTAGCGCCCTGTCGTGATAGCCCCACTGGTCTTTCTACCGACTATCACAGCGGCAGTTTTCCATTTTTCACAAGCGGTATTAGCTCTGAAGCGTACGAAAAAGCGGGCGTTCAAAAAGTTTTCATGAGATAACCAAGCGAGAATCCGTCTCGTACAATTGCCGACGCTCGCGTTGTTTACCTCCCCATAGTGTTAGTCCGCGCTACAACAACAGCATTCATGAATGAAAACAAAGCCAGCCAAAAACATCCGAAAGTTCCTGAATTTCATTACCTAGACTTTGTTGAAATAACATCAAATGTCTACCTAACAATTTTTTGAAGAGAACTTCTCGAGAATTTGTCTATGTACACTTACTTGATTCTATTTTATCTCCAATACAGGTAATACGATGAATCATGGCGTATGCACCAATGAAATATTTTAAATTAGACCAGTGCCCAGCAGACGAATGCAAAGAATTTACTTACATAAGACATCAAGTGTCAATGACCGCAGTTCAAATTTAATGAATCGCTTAATACAAGAAGGATTTTTGTACCATTGAGTAATCTAAAAAAACTAACACTGGCATTCTGTGATTACGAAGGAACGGACTTGATGTCGCCGACAATTATCAACAAAGCATAACCTAATTTTAAACATTGAGCCAACCTCTTTTTTTAACCGACTTCAAAAAAAGGAGGAGGTTCCCAATTCGACTGTATGTTTGTTTTTTTGTGGTATGTTACGCGATAACTCCGGTATTCTAGAACCGATTTTCATGACTCTTTTTTGTTGGAAAGAGGGTACCTCCATAGTGGTTCCATTTAATTTTGAAGAAAATCATCCACCTCTAAGGGTGGCTCACGCATGAAGATTCATTTTTATAAATAGCGCCTAAATTTTCTTATAAGGAGCAATTATTTTAATGGTTGATTTTGCTATTCTCCAATTCAAGGCGTTTTTCTCTCTCAATATACTTTGAGTAGTGAGAACCGATTTTTATTATCTCCTGTGTCAAGTCCCGTATTCGCACTTTATGGTGTCCGATTACAATAAAGTTGGTAATTATATGTAATTCCACGTACTTTTGAGGACGGTTTTTTTTAGTACTCTGTACTAAGATTATTATTTATGATACCAAGTACCGGCTCAAACAAGTCATGTTAAACCTGGTGTTTAGCGACACGCCTGTCCATAGTTGCAATGCCACTCAGAGCCTTAAGTCGCAAAGATTACCATGAGACAAAGTTGATACGTCATGTGCGTGTAACTTCACCAGCACCCTTATCTTTCAAAACCGGAACGCAGTCACACAGAGGCGGCCGCGGAAGCGTTTCGGGCGCGGGAATTTTTGTAATGTACAAGTTCATATGAACACTGTCACACTGAAACGCTCGGCCGCCTCTATGTTGCCAGTATATAAGATCCTACGGCGTATCACACGCGTCTGTATCGCGTTTGAAGCAATACAAACGCAACAATCTGCTTTTAGAGCGTCTACGCGATAAAATACACCATGTACTACTTCGCTCTTCTTTTCCGTAAAGGAGACCGGTAGTAATGGAACGTATAATATGTAATATATATAAGTTAACCTAACTATTAACATGGATCTTTAAGTTTGCGCTAATGGTTTGTAAACTATCCCGTATTTATGATCGCTTTGAAAGGGTTGTTAGGGATACTCCCCTAATGTAGGAAGGTACTGATAACTAAACAATGGAACCTAGAGTCTTTATACCGTTCAATGTACCCTCTTATCAAAGTAAATAAACAAGTTGAACAGAAGTGAATGAGATCGGCCTGCCAACGAGTACGTTTTAATTACTTCTAAAAGAGCATTGGTAACTGAACGCATGTGTGCGTACTCGTACATAGAGGCTTTTGAGTTTGATCCTTAATTCTGTTGAAATTCGGAACATTTCAATTGTTGCCTGTGTGCACTGGTTGTGTGGGTAAAAATGTGCTATTATGTACCATTAATCACTACTTAGCATTTTTAATGTTGTGCCATATTTCATTCTATCGGTATACGTTACAGCGAGGCGCGTGTGTTCTCTACTCTTCATATATTAATTCCGATTTTATACAATTGTAATTAGCCAAACAAATGTTTGTATACTCACATAAAGTGATAGTAGGTACATAAGGACTGTAACTCATGGGAAAAGTGCTGGAAAAGTCACAGTAGTACTTAGAATATGTTTTATTCCTTTTTCTATACACAATTAGACAAGACATTCCGCCCATAATCTCAATTCACAATTAACACAAAATTATTCAAGGAAGAAAAAAGCAATGTAAGTAATTAGTATCATAACCGTTGTCGCCAAAACTCGCGGATTGAGCTAAAGTATGTGGAACTTCGCTCACTGTTGGCACACGTACCACGTAAACTAAACACTTCTAATTGTATTTACAGTTCTGTGAAATTATTCTAGAGTGGTTACACACGGCAACTTTTTAGCAGCGATGTAAACGCGCGTACGTGAAACACGCGATTGCATCGCTACACTTGCGACTTATAGGCGATTGCATCGATGCAAACTCGCGGTAACATCGATAAAAACACGCGATTGCATCGGTGAAATCGCTTACAAACCACAAGTGTAGCGATGCAATCGCGCGTTTGTATCGATGCAGTCACGCGTTTGCATTGCTGCTTAGTCTCGCATGTGTGAAGGTAGACGATTAGCTACCGCATCGCTACTGCATCGCATTTGCATCGCTGCTTAAGGTCGCTTTGTGTAACCGCTCTTAATTAACAGTGACCACTAGCGGCTTAATTGTTACCCACAACACAAAAATGCCTATGTCTATAAATACAAGTAATTCTAATTACAGTGTATAACTACAGTATTTATATACCCTTACACATTATTAGTATTTAATAATCGACTAATTAAATAACCATAACAGAAAAATAAAGCAATTTAATTAGCACAATGTGAACAAAGTTCCGGAAGGAACAACTCTCGGTCTCTAGTCACGATTCGTTACTTTCGAAACTTTGTTCGACATTCTACGAATGTCATATTAAACGTATGGCAGCGTTTAAAGTTCAAATTTTGGATAATTCTAGTTTTATTTAAAAAAGTTATTGGTGACACCCTGTATTTGCGCACTAACCAAATATGCAGATTCGTTATTTCTACCAAACGCTTGAACTAAATCTCCCCAATTAGAGGAAGGATCATTTATCCGGCCGCGGTCTCAAGTTTCTCTTGCCCTGCGGTATCGGGCAACTCGGTTAGTTATCTACACATATACGGTTCTTCGGTGCCAAACATGTTATCTGCGGAACACGGATCTCTCATTGATTGCAATTAATTAATAACCTGCTCCTTAATGAGTAAAAACAAATTGTGTGAAAAACACACAAATATTAGAAACGAAAAATTCGGACCTTGTACATACAGTTCTATTTCTAGGTATAACTTTAGATGCTAAATTGCAATGGGGTCCACATATGAATAAATTATCAAAACGGCTCAGCTCTACGCGATTACAATAATACGAAAACTTTCAGACGTCGAAACAGCTACATTGGTTTACTTCAGCTACTTTTACAGTTTAATGACATACGGCATTTAATTTCGAGGTAATGCCGCCGATATGAATAGAATCTTTGTCCTACAGAAACTTGCGGTTAGGGCAATTTACCCTTTGTCTTTGAGAGATAACTTTAACGAGGTTAAACATTCTTACGTCACAGTACAGTTATCAAAATGTTATTTATGTTAAGAAAAATATTATTTTCTTTTACGAAAAATAGTGACTGACATTAATACGAGGAATAAAAATAATCTAAATGTTCTCGACTGCCGTCTTTACAAAGTCTCAAATTCATTTTAAGGGCAATGTATAC